GGGAGGAGGTTATATGTAGATCCTTATAATCGGTTCCCCCTTTCTACCCCACCCTCCCGGTATTGCCATTCTCACCACTGGTCCTGAAGGGGTCATCCATCCTGGATTCCCTGTGTTTCCAGTTCCTATCTGTACCAGTGGAGGAATATATATATTACCAGCTTTCGCAGGCAACAAAATTAAGACATGTCATAAACGGAGGGGGAAAATCTCAAACCAGAAGTCCATAAAAATATGTTCTATAAACTGGGAAAGGGTGTCAATAAAGTGGGTTGCCAATAAATCTGAAGCCCTTCATCGATTATCCAGGGTAAAAGATTTGGGTGAGTAGAATGAGAGAGACAAAAATAATTTGTGATCAGGGTTTTCTGAGAGGGAACTGTATGGTAAGTGGACATCTTGTTAAGGCAAAAGAGCAGCAGGTCCTGCCCCCACCCCTTTCAGAGTTAAAGGCTTTCCACAGCTCTCTGCAATGCTGGAGGCAGGGTCTGTACTGTGTAAGCATGAGCAATAGGTTTGACAGACCAGGTGGAAGAAATGGTAATGTTGGGCTTGTTAGAACAAAGGCATCTGAATGATTGCTATACGTGTAGGCAGAGATGGAAGCACAGGGAATCCAGGACAGATCAACCCCTCAGGACCAATAATGAGAGCAGCCATACCAGGAGGGGAAGGGGAAGGTGGGAGGAGAAAGGGGGAACCAATCACAATGATCTACATATAACCCTCTCTCTTACGGACGGACAATAGAAAAGTGGGTGAAGGGAACAGCAGTCAGTGTAAGACATCAAAAAATAATAATTTATAAATAAATTATCAAGGATTAATGAGGGAGGGAGAGGGAGAGAAGGAGAGGGGGAAATGAGGAGCCAATACCAAGGGCCCAAGGAGAAAGCAAATGTTTTGAAAATGAGGATGGCCGCAAATGTACAAATGTGCTTGACACGGTGGATGGATGCATGCATTGTGATAAGAGTTGTACAGGACCCCAGTAAAATGATATTAAGAAAAAATGAATGATGGTTAATAACCTACAGAGGCTGTGCATGGGAGCAAGTGCGAAAGAGAAAGAGCTTGATGGAGAGGTGTTTAAACCATTCCCCAAGTGACTGGCAGATAGGAATGATGGGACCCCCCAATAATAGCCATGAGGAATGGACCTCCCTAAGCTGAAGGCTGGGGAGAGCAACTGACCGAGAGCAAGAAGGAAGGGGGAAAAAAAGAAAGACATTGCTCAGGTCGCGAGACGTGAAATTCAATGTTCCTACTGATGGGCCCTAAAACATTCTGGAAAGGGATCACAAGAAAAAGAGTCAGATTCAAACATCTGTGGGGCCAGAAAAGAGCCAACCGTCTTACAACACGACCGTTCCTGTTGGAAAGTGCTTGCCACTCTCACTTTAGACTGTGTTTGGCAACTAGATGGACCATAGGAATTTTTATTGATGAAGAGTCATTTTTTAAGAGTTATAAAAGGTTTTAAAACGTTTTAAAACGTTTTAAAAGGTCAGCATTTGCCTTTTGAATAAAGTCTAAAGAAACAGAGAAGATAAAATTAATTTTTTTTACAATTACACCCCTTGTATCCAGCTTAATCCTGCTTGCAACGATCACGCAGGCAGACGCTTCTTTTCTCCTGAGGAATATATTCATCGATGGACAAAATACAGATCTTTATCACTTTTCTCTTAGACTGGACCTGCCCCCAAGCTCTTCCTTCCTCCAGCCCGGTAGCTCGGCTCTTGTCATGTCACCCCACTTCATGTGACATCGTTGTCCATGACCTCCCACATATTCAAAACAATAGCCCAGCTCTGTGGGCTGTCTTTCGAGGGCCTGTATAATATACGAGGGGCCATCAAAAAGTTCATGGGAAAACTCCATTATCTCCACATTCTCCTATTCCGTGAAGTTATGAAGCTCTTTCATATTCCCAATATTCTTGTCCAAATTTTCCCTCTCCTACTTCCCTGCCAAGCTGGGCTTCTCATTTCTCTAAAACAACAAAACCAACATCCTACTTTCCAACTCCTGTGCCTTCGACCACAGCATTCCTCTTTCACCTGTACCGTGACTTATCAAGACCAAGCACTTCCCTAGCAGAACCTTCCCAGGCCAGCCTAGACACATGTGGTTTGTCGTCCACTTGATTCCCAGGCCAGTCTCCTGGCAGGACTGCAGCCTTGGGTTCATTGAGCTCCTTGGAGCTCTGGCTGAGCAGGTGACGTGGGCCTGGGTGGTGCAAGCTGAATAGATTTCTTCTGGGAAATTTTGAGCACCTGAATAGTGGCAATAATGCATGGTATGCTACTAAATAGAATTAAAATGATGAATAAATGAACAAATAGACCCACAACTGAGAAATAAAGAAACATTTTTTTTCCTTACGGAAGAAAGCCAACTCATAAACAGTTGACCATCTTACAATCAGCACAGTAATTGATGAACTGCAGGATCATTAATGGGAGCGAAAATCAGTGGGTGAAAGTTTGATGAGGAACAGTCTCAAAGTACCTTCCCACATATTACTTATTAATCACAAACGGGAAAAGAGTCATCTTGCAGTGCAGTACACCTGGAGGGCACCTCCTTCACGGAGCAATCAAAGCTCGTGTTATTAACCATGGGAAAAAATTTTCTTGTGCTGCTTCCTGTCAAGATGTGCTGAGAAGGACGCTTCCATTTCTGTGGCATTCCTCCCCAAATGCAGGCTCCGGATCTCATGATGAGAAAGCGTGAGACTGGCCCCTTCACGGGAGGAGAAGAAAATAGCTGGCTGGTCTCCCTCAAAACATCAAAGAAACGCCAAGGACCAGTTTCAGATTATTGGAGACTAAAGAGGTGAAACGACTCCATGCCAGGCAGATCCAGGACCCCGGATTGAGGGTATCAAAGTATCACCAATAAAATCACAAGGGAAATGAAAGACATTTACATAATGCCTATGAATTGGATACATCAATGTTAATTGTCCTAATTTTATTTTATTTTATTCTGGAACGATGCTTTCATTTTTTTAATCCTTTTTGAATTGTTAAAAGATCCTTTTATTGGGGCCTCTTACAGCTCTTATAACATTCCATACACCAAGTGTATCAAGCACATTTGTACATATGTTGCCATCATCATTTTCTAAACATGTACTTTCTATTTGATCCCTTGGTATCAGCTCTTCTATGTTCCATCCCTCCCCCCTCTCACACTCACGGGCCCTTGATAAATTATTATTGTTTTCATGTGTCACACAGACTGCTGTCTCCCTTCACCCACATTTCTGTTGTTCGTCCCTGTCCTAATTTTATTAAAGGGGCTGCAGATCTGTAAAATAATATTCACAGGATCAGGAAGTATACTTTGAAACACTGAGGAGTAAAGCAGTGGTTCTCAACCTTCCTAATGTCACGACCCTTTAATACAGTTCCTCATGTGGTGGTGACTCCCAACCAGAAAATTGTTTTCGTTGCTACTTCATCACTGTCATTTTGCTACTTGTATGAATCAAGCAACCCCTGTGAAAAGGTCGTTCAACCCCAAAGGAGTCGCGACCCACAGGATGAGAACCACTGGAGTAAAGAAACATGATGTCTGCAACCTACCCTCCAATGGTTCAGAAAGAATTTTTGTTAGTCCATATACTCCACTATATACATAAATAAATACATAGATGTATTTATGTACTCAAATAGATACAAGTTTATGTGTGCGTGTGTACACAGAGGGGTAAAAGAGGTGCGATAAAGCAAATGTAAGAAAATGTCAACAGTTGAGGAATGTGGGTAAAGCACATTTATGATTTTCTATATTTTTCCTGGAACTTTTCTGCAAGTTTGAAATCATTTTAAAATACAAAGTTTTAAAGAAATATAGAAGTATTTAGTACAAGACCTATCCATTCATTCCATTGACATTAATTGAACACCTCCTTGGGCCAAGCACTATGCTAAATGGTTTAAGGATATCCAAAAAGAGTATTCCATGGGGCTAGTTTTCAGTGAAATGTATTTTGGAATATATTACTTTGTCTAAACTTTAGCTACCTCGCCAACTAGTTCAAACATGTTTACTTAGATATCTCACTCCTCCATACATGTTACATAGCCTTCGGCTTCAGAAGGAGCTGAGTCTATGAGTGAGTGAGTGAGTGAGTGAGTGAGTGAGTGAGCATGTGTGTCTGAGCTTTCTGTAGCTGACAGCTACAGCTGAGGATCACTCTTAAGCATCCTCAGCTGAACCCTACATGCCAAAATCTTCCCAGACTCTTACAAATCACTGCTGACTCACAGTGATCCCTCTGTGGATCCTACTGCTTATGGGAGTAGAAAGCCCAGTCTTTCTCCCTCGGAGCAGCTGTTGGTTTAGAACTGCTGGCCATGAGGATCGCAGCCCAACATATAAGCACTACACTACCCAGGCACTCCAGACTCTTCCCACCACTCTTCCCAGTCTTCATTAACAGAGTGACTGCTCAGAAAAGCAAGACTCCTGCCCTCCTCCATGACCATGAGAATGGTAATAAAATCCTAAAGATCTCCCCCTCTTTCCTTCTGACTCTTACACTAGAGTTGTTGAAGAAGTGGAGAAGGCCATCACCATCAAGGTCTCCTTCACCTCAGAAGGCCCCAACAATATTTGATAAAACATTGTTTAACACGATCACTGAAGACAAAATGGGTGCCTAAGCAAATGTGGTGAAGAAAGTGGATGGTGCCCGGCTATCAAAAGACATAGCATCTGGGGTCTTAAAGGCTTAAAGTTAAACAAGCAGCCATCTAGCCGGGAAGCAACAAAGCCCACATGGAAGAAACACACCAACCTGTGTGATTATGAGGTGTCGATGGTAGCATGTATCAGGTATCAAAAGATCCAAAACAAACAATTATATTGATGTGAATGATAGAGGTTGGAGTGGAAACCCAAAGTCCATCTTTAAACAATTGGACATCCCCCCACAGAAGGGTTATAAGGAAGGGATAATTCAACCAGGGTTCAGTATAGCACTGACGAAACACACATTATTCCTATAGTTCCTGAATGCTTCCTCCCTGCCACTACCATGACTCAGTCCTATCTTACAAATCCGGCTAGACCCGAGTTCACACATTGGTACAGATAAGAGCTCTCAATATATGGAATTCAGGGCAGATAAAGCCCTCAGGAACAGTAACAATATCATGAGGGTAGGGAAATGATTGAGGGAGGGGGAAGAAGGGGGAACCCATCACAAGGTTGCATATATAGCCCACCCCCACCCCCAGGGGGGCAGATAACAAAAATGTGGGTGAAGGGAGACAGCAGACAGTGTAAGACACCAAATAACAACAATAATATCTAATCGATCAAGGATTCATGAGGATGGGAGGGTAGAGTAGGGAGGGGAAAAAAGAGGAGCTGATCCCAAGGTTTCAAGTAGAAAGAAAATGTTTTGGAAATGGTGATGACAACATATGTACACGGGTGCTTAATACAATTGAATGATGGATTGTCCTAAGATTTGTAAGAGCCCCCAATAAAAATGATTAATTAAAAATAAGAAGAAACAACTGTTCAGCTGTTGTCATTTTTAATTTTTTAGAAATTTTTTCATTTTGTGACTGTTATTATTATCCAGAATACATAGAGCAGAATGTGCACAAATTCAACAATGCTGCATGTGCAATTCAATGATGCTGATACCCTTCTTTGAGTTAGGTTTAGTTCTTTCTATCTTCCTCATCTCCAGGGCCCCAGCCAGTGGAGACAGAGTCCTAGATGCTGGTATGGAGCAAGGAATGTAGGCGGCCCACGTGTAACAGTAAGTCATCAAGTTGAGGTAACGTCTTAGGTAACATCTTTACACAATAACCGGTAACGAAAGGCCTACAAGGCCTTGGGAGTAGATGTCAGAACAAGCATACTCACAGCTGCTTCTGTTTGACCAAGACTTCTTGTTCCGCCTTGTTTTTCAGCGAGTGTCTACCCCTCATGTCTCTACCTTTGGGGCACTTTCTTAAGAGGCCATGTCATTATAAATGACCAACGTGGATATTCGCAGGTGCAGGTGCAGAAGCTGGCTGGCAGAGATGGCACTACCTCTATAAATTAAAAACTTGGCTTTCCCAAAGTGGAAATAAAATTCAAAGGAAATCCTTTTCACCAACCCAGATAGATTCACCTCAAATGCCCCTGCCTGCACGCAGTGCTCCATAGCAAACCCTCCCTAGAATAGAGCAGGGCCTTAGACTGTCTGTCACTCATGAATTGAGGGCTTAATAAGATGTGGCCTTGAAAATGATTGACTCCAGCCTCTCGCCCAATATAAATAAGAAATTTCACAGACGAATGTCTTTGTGTAACACTTTCAAGAAGCCAATTTAATACTGATTTATTAAGTCAGTACAAGGTGATTGCTGAACGCAATGCAGTTGCTTGAGATGGCGGATGCGCCAGCCTGACGACCATATTAACCTGGACGCTCGCCCTACCTCTTGGTTGACTGTCAGATGCCACCATCCCTGACAAGGACGCAGCACAGAGAGACCTCGACTCTGAGCGCCAGAGCCCAGCGCTGACTTCATTGCAGCCCCTCCTGGTGACACCACTCAAACGGAATGAGAGCGTCTTTGGGGCCCTGACACAGAAATCACCTGGTTAGTCACCAAACCCTAAATCCGAGAAGTTGTGTGCTTGTTAGGTGCCGTAGTGTGGGCTCTGACTCGGTGACCCGATGTGTAGTAGAACGAAGCACTGCCCGGTCCCCACAGTGAGGGTCTTCCTCTTTCTCCTGGCAGTCTTACCACGCGCACCTTAGGTTCTTGAACATGACCTCCAAAGCCATGCCCAGTTTCCTATTCTCCAGAAAGCATGGATGTAGCAAGGCAAATGAAACGACCTTTCTTTGAGACACACTGGGCACAGGCATCACTCGCAGGGTTCATGTGGCCCGTTTGGGTGCCAAGGTTAGGGTGCTGCCACTCCTTGTCCACACCCGAGGCTGCCGTGTTCGCATCCCTTTGATTTCCAAGAGCGGAGCGGATGCAGGAGCCCGCACCTCAGCAGAGGTCTCGGGAGGGCACCTGAGAGCTGGAGATGAGGGAGGCAGTGGGTGTGTACCCTTTCTACCTGCACTGGAATCCAAATTTGCAAAGATGCTCATCCTGGCAGTGTCTCCAGGACTGGTACCCATGCCATCTGTCCCCCTGACCCTCCTCCACTTTCCCGGGTCCCAACAAAAGTAACTCAAGAGTTGTTAAGGGGGCTGAGGAAGCAAGAGCCCCCAAGTTCTTCTTCACCACAGAAAGTTCCAGAGGCAGGTGGGAGGCGATGAAAAGGACCTCCTTCTCTTTCCCCCTTTATGGGGGAAAAAAGGGTCTTGCCACAAGGTGACAATCCATATCCTCATGCCACAAATCTGGCTCTAGCCGTGACATTTATATATGTACTACAGCACAACCAATGACTGTGTACATTTTTTAATATCTTGATAGTAGCCAGAAGCATGTCTAGTTCCTTCTTTTGGTCAAGAGAGCAGCCAAAGATGAGGACATAGTTGAGGAAGAAACACAGAAATTGAGGTGTGCTGGATGACGCCCACTCTCACCCAGAACCTTGTCCCCGTTCTTCAGTGACAGCACGAGCCTCTCAGCAGAGCTGACTGACACCCGGTTCTTCTTGCCTCCCTTCCCGTGATGCCTTTACCCCACAAGTCTATTGCGGGTGTTCTATCCCCGGGAGGGCCTTCGTGGACCCACACCTGCTGCTAACAGCACAGACACACCTTTGAAGGGAGAACAAGAGAGAGCACCAGACCCGTGTTCTCTTCCAGAGGAAATGCATCTCCGCCAGCCAGAGGGGAAGCCAACGCAAAGACCCGCTTCTGCTTACCTTCTTGCCATTCACAAAGAAAACCAAATCGTCTGCCGTCATTGCGCCGGCTGGAGTTCCCGAAGGTCAGGCAGCTCCCTGCAGAGAGACACTGGCAATTATCACTGCTCTGGAACTGAAAGCCAGTGACACAGCCGGCCAATGGGAGGCAACCAGCTTGGAACTTCGGGGCAGGAGAGTTCTTGGCCAAAACCACCCTTTTACATAATCAAGGAAAACACAAACAGCAGCTCACACCCCCTGCACCTGTGTCAAAGAGCACAGAGGAAAGTGCAGTTGGCAATCAGCACGGCCAGCGCCAGGTGATTAGCTCTCCAATGATGTCCTCACCCAACCAGCTTCATTCAGCCTCCCACTTGTTGCAAGACGGAGGAGGGGCAGGGCCATGAGCAGAGGCCCTGCCAGTTGAGCTGCTTCACACCCTCCACACTTGGTGTGTCATGTGACCATTCGGGTTCACAGCCACCCAGACTCGTGCGTACATCCAAGACGTGTCCCCTCCTGGCCCAGTGGAGCACAGAGGACACAGGGTGTGGACGCCAAGGAACCAGGCCCCAAAGCTGGCATTCTGCCTCGGCAAATTATCACCTGCAGAGCTTGCTCGTTTTCATCCTGTGATGAGGGTAAGAATGACAGCCAAATCAGAAGGCAGATGGAGCCAGTGATGGATTTTAGACGTGCTTTGTGAATTGGTGAGGAGCCTACATACATAGCATTACAAAGACGCCTTCAACAAACACAGCAAAATCATCCTGATAGCTGCCCTGATTGCTGGAGACACCTATTTCTCTCAGGAAAATGTCCACGGAGAGTGTCTCACTGGTTGTCAGATTATTTTGTAATAAAATTATCTTTTAAACCAACTGAATTAAAACAAACACCTCACATAGACCATGCGAACAGAAAGTTGAAACTCTGCCCTGCCCAGGGTATTCATGGTATAAATACGCATGCAAGTTGTCCAAAGGGCTCTCTGTATCTAGCACCCGACTGCCCCACCCAGTCCTTGAGCTCAACACATGTGCGGGCATGGGGTGCACACACACACACACACACACACACAGCAGTAGCAGCAGCAGCAGCACTCTGGTTGTCCCAGTTTTTCAATGGCCTCCACTGTTAATCAGCCAGCCCCTCTGAGGCAGGACACTTCCCTACACCCCTGATTAGCCGTGGAGAGGAAAGAAACGGTAGTGGGCAGATGCCCTCAGTATAATGATCATCACACACGATCGCTGAAGACAAAGCGGGTGCATAAGCAAATGTGGTGAAGAGAGCTGATGGTGTAAGACATGAAAAAAGAATAATAATTTATAAATTATCAAGGGTTCCTGAGGGAGGGGAGGGGAGGGAGGGGAATAAATGAGGAACTGATACCAAGGGCTCGAGTAGAAAAAACATGTATTGAGAATGATGATGGAAACAAATGTACAAATGGATGGATGGATGGATTGTGATAAGAGTTTATGAGTCTCCAGTAAAATGATTTTTTACAAAAAAAAGAATGAAAGTCCACAGTCTCAGAAAAAAAAATAATAGTGATCGTCACAACCTCAGCTTGGACAAACTGAAGATTGTCAGAACATGCCAATCACACTGGCAAGTGCCCTTCTGCCATCATACCCTTTATTCAACCAGGCAAAGAAACTTCGTGGAGGGGGTGACCAATCCCTGCTGTTTGCTCTGGACTATCCTGGTCTTAGCACTGAAAACTCCACATCAAAGACAATTATTCAGTTCAGGGCAAGCTGGTCTCCGTAAAACAGAGGTTCTTAACTGGAAGGAAATTGCACCCCTCTCCTATGGGTTATTTGGCCAAATCTGGGGATATTTTCGTGTCTCCATTTGGGGGAGGAATGCTGCTGGTGTCTATCGAGCAGGTATAGGCCAAGGTTGCTAGTAAGTACCGTACAATGCCTAGGACCTCCCCCACCCCCACCACAAAGAATGATTCAGCCCCAAACGCCCAAAATGTCAATGGTGCCAAAGTTGAGAAAGCATAGCAGGAAGAAGAAAGGGAAGTTGGTGGGAGAGGGGCTGATCCTAGGTGCGATATTTTGTAACTTGAACAGTTCTCTCCGACTCTCACCGCTCTGTGTTTGAGACTTCTCTGTCCACCAATCTGCCCAACCCACAAGGCTCTCCCCTTCTTGGCCAACGTCTAAGAAAACTCAGAGTGAAGAGGGAGAGCTAAGAAAAGAGTTAAGGAGTTATGACTTAAAGGAGTAAGGCAAGTTCTACTTTGCCCATTAGGTCCCTGTGGGTGGGAATCCACTTGATGATACTAACAGCAAGAAGCCAGGCTTGCATAGTCACTTGACCCCTTAGGGGACTTTGGGGCAAATATCCCTCCCTCAGAGCCAATATCCTCATCTACAAAATGGGCATGACTGCATCTCCTTTATAAAAATCAGCTCTTAAGAGAATTAAATCATACATAGGTAAGAAGCACGACCCATAAACCAAGCCAAACGCACTGCCAGCGAGTTGATTCCGACTCATTGTGACTGTAGGACAGGGCGGAACTGCTTCTTGGGGTTTCTGAGACTATGAATCCTAACAGGAGCAGAGAGCCTCCTCTTTCTCCCAGGAGCAGCTGGTGGATTTGAACTGCTGCCCAATGCGTAGGTAGCCCACTACGCCACCAGGATGCCTGCATATCCCACAGTAGATGTGATTTTAATATCGGTTCACTCCTCCTCACTCAGTGAATCCCCACCCCCTTCTCCTACCTGGGGGTCAATATTCCTTCCATTCAAAGATGAAAGGGGGATCAATGTTCCTTCAGTGCTTATGCTGCATTCAGAAATTTTGTTTCTGTAACAATTACTTGGGACTCCAAACGCTAAGATTTGACAGAATTCCTGACGTCTTATGATCCATTCTTATTCAGTAAAATATTTGTGACCATTACTTTCTCAGGGATTTTTCAAGATATTATAAATCATGCAAAAACAGCCTAATAGGAACTTTTTTATATACTAAACTGAAGACTTCTCATATACGCCTTCAACTTTGGGATGAATTTTCAAACTTCAAATGAATTAATGCGGTTTCATGGTATAGAAACAGACTAACTGTGACTTCCGCTACCTTGCGTGAACACACCCAATTTACCAAGGGAAGTCTTGGTTTAGAGAGTGTGCTGTGTTGGTGCGTCAAGTCCAAAAGTCCATGCGAAACCAGAGAAGCCCAGAGGCCTCCCAGAAACACGTGTCTTCCCTCTTGGAAGAGCACTTTGAGGAAATAACCAGAGATGCAGGCAATCACACATGCTTCCAGGAGCCAGGTCATGATTTCTAGAAGAGTGAGCTTCCTGAGGGTGAGGCACTCCCTAGAGGAAGAGTGATTCTGGAAACATGTGGAACATTCCCTGAAGACTTGACCGGGGCTGGGTCAGCCGCTCCCAAGCTCTGAAACCTTTATAGCTTGGGAGCAGGTGCTGGGCACTGTCCCTGCACACTCCACAGTCTCTCTGCCTTGCCTGCTGGAGCCTGCTGCTGCTTCTGCAGCCCAGGGGGCCTGCTCACCCCCTCTCTTGGCATCCATGTGTGTATTCTTGTCTCCACTTACAAGACTCCCCTGTTCATTTTCTTGTCTCATAACAGACTCGAAAAGGGAGGAAATCACTTTTATTTTAAGATAGTCCACTGCTCATAGTTTTTCCTTTTATTTATTTGTTTGTTTGTTTTTTGTTTGTTTTTAACCAAGACCGGTTTTCTGTCAACACATGCTCCCCACTCCAGTTAAAAGATGCTTCTCTATCACTGGAATCTCACGGCCCAGTAGCGGAGTCCGCCCTTGTTCTCCCAGACATCCACATCATGAACTCATCCTAAAAACAGTTCTTGACCTGAAAAGCATTTCTTCCCCACGACATGATGTTATTGGACCTCCTCTCAGCTCCACCAGTTGGGCGGGATGCCACTCATACGCCCCTTTTCCAGACTTGCTGTCACAAAGCGAGTGAGTGCCGGGTACTGAATCTGTCGCCCACTTCCAGCAGAGATTCGGTCTCTGATGAGTCTTCCACTAACTATCCAGCAGAAAGCCCAGGCGTGTCAGGGGAGCACGCACAGCAAGCCTTAGTGACGGAAACCCAGCCTGCAGTTTGATGCTGTGCTTTGCTCTCAGAGCTAAATGCTGACCCCTGGAATCAGCAGGGGGCCTTGTGGAGCAGTGGTGACTCCTTAGGAAGCTACCTGCAAGGTCAGTAGTTTGAAACCACCAACCACTCTGCAGGAGAAAGTCGGGCTTTCTGTTCCAGTGAACAGCTACAGCTTCAGCAATCCACGATTGTATGATATATAAATTATGTACCAATAAAACTGTTGGGGCAAAATATATATGTATATTTTTATATTTTATAAATATATATTTTAAAACATTTTAAATATATATATATTTAAAACCGCAAGCAAATTCAAATGTACTTTGATCTGTCTATATCTTCCCTGTGTTTTCTTTTCCCCCTGTGTTTTTTGATAACGCCTTTGCACTCAACTCAAACCAAAGGTCACTTGTGGTGACATGGACGGCTTGGTCTCTCTTTCGGTTCTGAGTGGCTCGGGCACAGGCCAGGAAGGAGCAAACTGGCGTCTCCTCGCACTTGAATCCTCGCTGGCTTGCTCGCGCGCATGTTCTCTGTACACAGTATGCTCCAAAGAACGACAGTAGAGAAAGCCACCTGCCCATTGATTCCTGCTCCCCGTTCTCCTCCCCGGATTTGTTTTTCTTATAATTACCATCTGAAATATAATGTACGATGCACTTGCTTAAATGAGGGGCCTTTGAAATGTTTGTGGGAAATAGAATTAAAAGGTAAAAGGATTTTTCTGTGAGTGTTGTTAAAGCCCCTTAGAGTTGAGTGCCTGTTTCCTGAAGCCAAAAGATCACTAGCATGGCAAGGATGCCCCTCCATGGCCACCACCATCACCACCTTCATGTCGGGCTTCTGTTGAGAAGCCGCTGCTTGGCTGGGAGCTGCAGGTTCTAACTCCCTACTGTGTAGGCGACCCCGATGATTGCGTTCTAAAGAAGGCAGGCGGGGTGGAAATCCTATTCCCAACTTCCAAACACTCACT